TTACACGTGTAAAGTCCGGCTTGTAAATACAAGGATTCAATAAAAGAATTTTATTTACTGGAATTTACACGTGTATCGTGAGTCGGGATACAGGTGTAAATTACAATTGTAGCCTTACAATTGTAAAATCCGCTTGAATGCAGGTGTATTTTTACAAATGCAAAATTTATATCCCTGCTGTCTGGTCAATATCTGCGGGTCTTTTTAAAATTTCAAAAGGTGGCGAAGGCGTCTACAGGGAGACGAAACATCTCGCGAAATTCCCCTGGATTTTCGACGTCTAGTAGCCGTCTTTCCTCGAAATTCCGAGTTTGACGGATAACTGGCACGTAACTCATGGTAGGCCACCCTATAGTCTCCCTGCAGTTTGCTTTAATTTACTGCCGTTTGCTTGCGGTTAGCATTTAAATACTGTGTTTGCTTGCGGTTAGCAATTAAGGGGTGAAGGGGAAGGCGACCATATGTGTCCTACCATGAGGTTCTAGCCAGATAACCTGATGTCTCAGCAGCTCGTCAAGTTCCTCCTCACTAGAAGACCACGGCTCGAATTTCCTTTTCAGAAGTCGTACTCAATGAAGCTTACAAGTGACATGCGTCTTGTAGTTTGCACTTGTGATTTACAAGTTGGACTCTTGTAAAATATAAGACAGACTCTTGTAAAGTGTTAATCAAATTTGATACTTACCATCCTTTACACGTGTAGCGCTACACCTGTCACTACAAGTCGGACACTTGTAACATGGACTCGTAGTAATGTTTATTAAATTCGCTTTTGTCTGCGCTTGTAAATACAGTGGTCCGACTTGCACATTACAAGTGTAAAAGTTCTATTAAATTGATCCCAGGTTCGCAATTACACGGAGTTAGAAAACTGTATACGTGCCCATCGATATAAGTCGATGGTCATGTATACAGTCTCCTAACTCCGTGTAACTGTGGTAAGCATGTTTCGTAATGATTAGCGCGTGAGTGGACCACTAAGCCTTTTTGAACATAACACTAATCACGCCACTGCAAGACCACGAAAGAATCCACGCAAATTCGCGTGTATACGCGAGATTTTATGACGTTGATGTTGGTGCGTTGTTTTCTAAAAATAGCTGAAAATGATACATATCATACAGTCTCCCTTCCCGATTGGTGGCTCCTGTTAGCAAGCCATCCAGGGAGAATAGCAACACATCTGGTCGCTTCATGTTCAGGCATAAACTAGAATATGCAATATCACTTTGAGCGGAGTGCAGAAATTGCCTTATCATCGACTTGACACCATATCAAGGGAATTGATATGGTAGTTTCTTGTTCTTTTTTAAGGAAAAAAGAGAATATGATGGCAATAGCTCGGCGTAATCAGCGACAGGTTGATGAAAAACGACTATTTCACGGAACTAGTCCAGGAACCGTGGAGGCCATCTGTAAGCAAAACTTTGACTGGCGTTTACACGGAAAGAACGCAACTGTGTA